GTTGTTGTGTGTACGCCCATGTCGTCTCGTTGTGTGTATGCAAACATTGTCGTTGTCGTGTGTACGCAACCATCGTCTCGTCGTTTGTCCGCCCTCCTCCTCATCGTTGTCGTTTGTCTGCCCTCCTTCTCCTCGTCGTCCATCGTTCATACGCCTCATGTCGTCATCCGTTCGCCGTTGTCCGTCTTTCGCCCTTTGGTGTCCTCGTCACACCGTTGATTGGCGTCTGCCTGCCCGGCGTCGTTCCGTGTTGTGACGTGGCTGCTGACGTGCGGCATGAGGGAGGGGTGGGATGGCGATGTAGGGTGTGCTTTGGCGGGCGGTGGCCTTCATTCCCTTCATTCGTGGGCGGTCGTGGACGTTCGCAGGTGGTCGCGGTCGTGGGTGGGCGGTCGTGGTCGATCGTGGTCGTCCATGGGTGTTTGTGTTCGTCAATGGTCCACCGCCCATGTCTTCATCGGTGGTCGTCTTCGTTTTGGTTGTCGTGGTCCTCGAGGCGGTTGTCATGGTCCTCGAGGCGTAGTGTTTAAAGGTTCAGTCCATAGGACCGCAAAAAACCGGTGGACCGAACTGAACCGGACCATGGTCCGGTCTTTTTTTCGGTTGCAGTTGCCCCAATTTGGGGTTGGTCCGGTTGCCAGTTGCCTCATTTCGAAAATATATTAAAACCGTTCAAAGACCGGTTTTGATCGGTTGCAACCGGTTAAACGGTCACGTGCGTTACATACCCTTGTAACCACGTTTATTACCTTTTATTGGGTTTTTGTTTCATCAAAAACGGTCAAGAATTGAGAAAGATATAACCAAATCCATATTTTACCTGAGTCTCTATGAGATGTAATTCGGTTTCAGTCATAGCTATGTCAAATCTTCATTAAATCTCTTCAAAATTGGTAGAATGACGGGTATTTACATGCTTTACTATTTCATATAACCCATTTATTTTTCAGAGTAATAATAGTCAAGATACAAATGGTTTATATTGGTATAATAAATTATACGCAAAAAAACCGGTCTGGATCGGTCTGAACCGGCTCCATAGACCGAAATAGACCGGTCCTAGGTGGTTCGGTTCGGTTCCCTCAATATCTGGGTCGGTCCTAGACCGGTTGCGGTCCACGGTTGCGCGTTTTGGGGGCAAAAAACCGGACTGAACTGAACTTGCGAACACTATCGAGGCGGAACAAATACGAGAACGATGACCGATGTCGTCGTTCGTCGTCTGGTTGCCACGTTGCAGGTGGCACCTGGTTGCTGTCAGAAGGGGGAACATCGGGGTTGTGACTGCTTACCAGGCTGGGTTGGGCACGACCTCGTCATGGTCCGTGACGACGTTCGGTGTCGTCGTGCGCCGTCAATGTCGTTACTTTCGTGGGTGCTGGTCATCGATTTTCGTGGGCAGTGACCATTGTTTCCCTGTCAGTCTTCATTGTGTGTGGTTTGTTGGGGTGTTGTTGTCGTTTTTGGGTGGCCGGGGTAGTTTGCGGTGGTGGGGGTTGCGTGATCTGGTATGGCGGCGACGTGGTGGTGATGTGGAGTCGGCGTTGAAACGTTGACGTTGGTTTCAACGTCTAAGTTCACGCTCACATTTGGCTCACCACTGTTTCTAGTTAAATTTTGTAGTGTCCATTATACGGCCTTGTAGTATGCTCATTCTTATTACAGAGATTTTTAGTGTCTGCTCTTTGGAAAGACAAAAATATGTAGCATCTACTTTTTAAGACTATCAAAATTTGCATTTTTCATTACAAAACTTTGTAGTGTTCGCTTTTTGGGACTACAAAATTCTATAGTCTCCTCTTTTGCTGTGCACTTTTCATTACAAAAGCTTGTGTCTCCATATCTAGAACTACAAAAG